AGATAGGTTTTCCTCCTAAATTATTGGAGCAAAACAGAACCAATTTATATTCTCCGAACAAGGCCATTTCTCCTGGCATAATGGATCTTGAGGATAACAGTATGAAGCTTTACTTTAAATAGTCATTACACTTTTCAGTTCTAAGCAGCTTTCTCTATAATTAGAAAACCAGGATACTCTTTCTGGATCTTGTATTTCAAATTGTTTGTATGCTTGTTTTACAGATCACATTTCTAGGTTTTGCTGGAGAGACAGATGCTGCTCATATGCAGGTAATGTATATACAAAAAATGACTTTGTCTCCAGCACTTGAGTTATAACTGAGATATTTTATGGTTTTTGGTGTGGGAGCCCTAATACTTATTTTACTTCAAGAATATGCCGTGGAACATGCTTTTTAAAATAAATGGTCTGTTTTAAACATTGAAATTAACAGTTTTAATTTTTTTTTTATTTTCATATGACCGCCAGTGTTTTGTATTCATTTGGAATATAGAAGCCTGGAAAATCTTAAACCTCCATTTTTTTTTTTTTGTTGTTGTTAACTTGAGTGCCAGCCTTGGGGTCTGTGCTTTTTGAAATACCTGTGGCCAGATCTTAAGATAGTCTTAGGAGAGTTAGATAAGCAGTTCTTGTTTTTAAAACAAGAGTGTAACAAAAGTATGATGACTATTTCATGCAACTATAAAAATATTAGGGATTTAACCCTCTCGTGTGTGTTTAGTCTCAGGCCTGATTTAACTTCAGAAGTGAGGATAAATCAGTGCTACTTTGTATGTGAACACTCTTGTAAACTATAGGGACAAGCTAAAATTATATCAGACAAGTTTAAAACAATGTAAGAAACTCCAGGCACAAAATTGTACTAGTTTAACTAAATCTGTTTAACAACTTACCTTTCATTAAATGCGTGCACGTTCTGTGTTGACAAGCCCTTAAACTACTTTGTAGTTCTCTCTCTCCTAGATCCAGATGTTATAGGTCATATATTAAACTACTTTGCAATTCACGCTTTCCTCCTTCCCAACATGTTATAGGTCATATCAAAGTAGAACTTTTGACTACTGTGCAGTTAGAGTTTTACAAATAAGTGAGAAATATGATTTACTTGTAATTTGAAGTAGAGTGGTGTGAAATAAATATTAGAAGTATCACTGAGCTGTTGATTTTATTAGTACATTGTGGTTAATTTTAAAATTATTTTGGTTTCAGGATGTCAGTATTTGCATTTAAACATGTGCAATAAAGTGTAAAAGAAAATCGGGAGACATAAAACTTATCTTGTACCTTTTAGACATTTTACTTTTTGTGTGTGTTCTTGTAATGGAAAATAATAGATGTCTTAGAAAACCACACCAAAGAGGCTGCTGATTAGGTCATGAACCCCAAAATGACTTATCCTCTCCACAGCTAATATAAATCACAAGGTGTATCGTGGAAGGTGTTAGTCATTAAATATAGAGGCTTTCATAGTTAACGGTCCATTGGTAAGTAAAAGCAAAAGGATAAATATTGTGAGTTAAATTGTGCTCTGACTTGCATTCAGTGCCAAGTACACTAAGGGTGCTGTAAAAATAATCACTTTACAGATATTCTTCTAAGCACACAGGTCCAAACCTTGGGCTCTCTACTTGAGGTTGCACAAAGAATTCTGTTTACTAAGAGAAAGCTGGGTCCACTGTGTTCAATAATTTATATTGGATTGAGCATAATTTTAAAAATTTCTCAATGTTTATGCTGTATTAAAAAGTAAGTAATATAATATTAAACGCTCAATTTTTTCAGCATATTTATTTTAGGTAAACATAATTCCATGTTGACCAAGATCCTAGTTAAACATAAGCCTGAATTGATTATTTTTTTTTAAATATTCTGCTCAGATACAAACCCGATAATGGTGAACCTACAGCATGTGGAGATTACCAGATGGAAACAGTTGCATGCAAATGTTCCCTCTGTGTGTTTACATACCTGCTGTGATGTTCTGTTGCTCTTTACTACTCCCAAGTCTCTCGGTGCTTTTAAAAGTTTCCCTGAGTCTTGAGAGGCAGTGATATTATATTTCTTCTGGTAGAGGTATCTTGAGATTTGAATTAGAACACTGTTGTAAACTAGCCCTTTAAGCAGGATTCCAATTTGGTGTGGGAATATAATTGGAAAACTGAAGGGAAAGAGAGTGGTGATTTTGACAGACTTAGAGGCTGGCGATATTTATTTAACTTTCTAGTGCTCCAGATCAAAAAGTTTCCTTACCATTAACATATTAGTTTTATGCTTAGTGTGTGAATTTGTGTTTGAATTAGGAATTGGCTGCTGTTTCTGTAGAGCTCCCAGATGTTCTGAAATCACTCCATTTCTGTAGTCTAAATGAAAATGAAGTTATTTTTCTAAAGGATATAAATAAACCCAAGGAAACCAGCGATGTCTCTAAACATCAGGTAAAATTCCTAATCCTTTTTATAAGGTACACGGAATATTAATGTGTTTTGCAGTTTTGCAGTTTCTTCATCTTACAAAGTAATCCTGGCAATAACCTGGCCAGGTATTGCTACTTTATTAATGCGTTTTGAAGCTATATGTGTTATATAAGTGCTCTGGTATTTTTAATGTTGTAGCTATTTTAGTCCCAGGATATTAGAGACACAAGGTGAGTAAAGTAATATATCTTTTGTTGGACCAATTTCTGTTGGTGAAAGACACACATCTTCGAGCTTACATAGAGTTTACACAGAGCTCACCCACCTTGTCTGATGGTATTTTTAATATTATTAATAGTGGTATAAATATTATACTGACTAAAGACATTCCTGCTGCAATTTATGAAATATTAAGAAATGCAAGGTACTTTATCATAGGTACTTTCCTCTCTCCTTCCTAGTTCTAGGAAGATACTCTGCTGTGGAAGCCATAAGCACTGAACTAGGCAACAGCAAATTGTGCAGGAAAATGTGCTAGGAACAAGTCCCTGTGGGGCCCTTTCTCCCTTCCTCTTCACCATTCAAAAGTCTGAGTCTCGATGGCCAAGGGGAAAAAATTGGAGACGTCCCCAAAGTGAACCACAGTTGGCTGTGTTGAACATGGCTGAGCATCAGCAGACTTGCCTGACGGTGAGCATGCAGTGAAAGCAGCTGAACTGCATGTTCAGCTGCCCTCTGCAAAATGCCTGTGTGCTCATCCAGTAGTCCACATACCTCTGTTCCCCACACCATAGTCCCTTTGTACTGCCATTTGGAAGGAAGATGAAACTGGTTGAGTGAGACCTGGTCTACTCTACAGAGTTAGGTCGACATAAGGCATCTCATTAGCCTAACTCTGTAAGCGTCTGCACTAAAATGTTGCTCCCGCCAATGTAAGTCACCCACTATGCTGAAATAATAACTCCATCTCTGAGAAATATAGCGCTTAAGTCGATGTATTTAGGTCGACGGCAGTGTCCTCCTAGTGAGATCGCACACCGGCGACAGAAGGCGCATAGGGTGGACATTAAAATTCAAATTAATTACTGTGGTGGCTGTTTGTTGACTTATGTCGACTAAATTTTGTGGTGTAGATATGCCCTTATTCTTCTCAGATATAGTGCTATTCTTCTGTCAAACAACAGGGGAGAGAAGTTACAGGATAGGCTAGGTGCTCCCAACACTTGATACTTCCCATTTCCTCTCCAAATGTCAGTAAAGATAGCTAGAATTTGTTAAAACTATTTTGACTAATAATGTATAATGAAGTAATTGTATTACTTGCAGGAGTAAAACTACTTAGAACAAACCAGAAGGGGTTTTTTTTTTTTTTCCCCTGTTTGTTTTGTTTTTGTTTTTGTTTAGTGTAACGATTTATTCATTCTAAAGAACTCCTATATTCAGAATGTACTTAGAGCAGGGGTCAGCAACCTTTCAGAAGTGGTGTGCCGAGTCTTCATTTATTCACTTTAATTTAAGGTTTCGCGTGCCGGTAATACATGTTAACGTTTTTTAGAAGGTCTCTCTCTATAAGTCTGGGGTGTGTGTGGAGGTGCAGGGCAGAAGGCTGGGTGTTGGGGGGAGGTCAGGGCACAGGGCTGGGGTGTGTGTGGAGGGGCACGGCAGAAGGCTGGGTGTTGGGGGCGACTCGAGGTCAGGGCAGAGGGCTGGGGGGGG